GTATTTTTTGTGTTCTCTTGAGTGCATTTATCGGAGTCTAATAAACAAAATGCATACTCGATTCGGCCATAATATTATATTTAGTGCCAATAAAGTCAATTGATCGATATGAATATCATTCATTTTCACGTGCAGTCATAATTCTATGGATTTGATTCTAATGACATTTAACAAAAAGAAACACAAACAATATTCTTATTGAAATATTTTAGACAAGATTGCCTAACTGTTACCATTTTATGCTTCTATGCAATATATAACATCAATTTAAAATAAATAAATTGATTACAATAAAAAAAATGTCAACTGTTCACAAAGCAAATCCCATTTCCAAGTTTTTATCGAAAACTTATTTTTCACGCTGAAGAAACAAACGAATAAAAAATACACACTGTCTGATGAAAACATAAAAAAGACATCCATGAAAAATTAAAAGGTATTGATGCAGTACTTCAGACAAATCTGGCGCCATACCATATACATGGGATTTAAAATATTGTTAATCGACTGGTTGCGACAAAGTTAGAGAAAGAGAGTAATCGAACGAGTAAAGATGTGATACGTAAAAGTAGAATGAATGTGTGTTATATGAATATCCTGTGATATGTGGCGAAAACCGGAAACGGATATAAAAGAAAGCTGGCTTTGTGGAAAGTTAGACATGCAGAAAGTAAACAGCAATAATAACAAAAACAAAAATTGAATAACAGTTCCATTCCATTGACACAATATGAAAACCGAATGAAAATGGCAATTCTCATAACACAACATCAGGTGAAAATAGCGAATGCACAAGAAAATAATTTAATATTTGCCCAAGAAAAAGCCGATAAATCTGAATATGAAAAGTGGATCTTGTATATCATTCTAACACTAAAACAATTCACTTTCAATGAAAAGTGGCATCAATAAAATACAGACGGTGAAATGACACTTTTCATTTATGCACACGTATGCACGATGCCTAGTCGCATCAGTATTTTTTTTGTCTTTCTCTGTGCACAGCAGTTTTTCCCCACACATTCACATAGACTGTGAATGGAATAAAACAAACACGTAACAGCTACCGTTTTATGTTGTTGTTTTTCTTTTAACAATAGGCGATTAAAAAATGGCTTTGGGTTTCTTTATTTTCATCCGTAGCCAATTGAAAATCTGAAGAGAGGAAAACCAGACCAAATAAAAGCGAATGCTAAGCACATTTTGTGAAACCATGTCCATTTCAGATGAATGCACAAAACTCGATATGTTTTTTTTACTATTATTATTATTTTTAAAACAAAAACACAAAGGAAAAATGATATTATTTCCTTGTATGTCAAATCACAAAGCATACCACACAACAAAGAAATATCCATGCGAAAAGCAGCCAAAACCAATCATTTGAAGCTCCGATAAGCTCATTTCAAAATGAAATTTTATTCGATATGTTTAATATCCGTCTCGGCATCTCGACTACATTTAGATTCACACACTCGGAAAGTAGCCATGGCATGTGGTTTCTCTCCCTCACAAAACTCCTTTGTACCGTCACCAATAAATTTCCGTTTCATTTTATTTTGCATGTTGATTTTTCATGAAATGATATGGCATGGATTCAAGTGTATTCAACTTTTCATTCACATTCCAATCATACGGTTTTTGCTTTTTTCCCTCGCATTTCTATTGTGATGATGAAATCACATTTTTGTTGTTGTTGTCTTCTCTTCTTTTTTTCGAATAAAAACATGGAAATGTTTCATTTATTAGTTCTTTTCAAAAATGATCATATTTGAGCGGGAATTAATTTTGCATGTAATTTTTAATGTTGGAAATAACATGAAATTTTTTTGCCTGATTTTGCACGAGCAAACAAGAGATGGAGATAAAGATAGAGAGAGCCATTTTTTAATGTGGCAATAAACATTGTTCATTGAGTACTCAAATCGGCATTGCGCATAAAATATCGTTGTGTTTTCTCACACGCTAACATATGAATCACCCCCAAACCGCCCTATAATGGGTTTTCTCTCTTTCAAACAATCAATGCCGAACATCAATTTCAACGATGTTGGTGTGTTTGTGTTTTTTTGTGTGTGTGTCGTGTTGCTGTGCATGAGTAATTTTCATTTGACACTTCATGACTTGGGCGGTAATGTGGCGAAGAAAGACACATAGAACTCAATAAAATGTAGGTATTTAACGGAAGGTATTGAAGCAACTCACGCTCATATCTATCACGCTCCATAAAATCAGCCCGTATGAAATGATGATGTGCAATAAACATTACCGTTATGGCACATCTCACCCGGTCTAGAGATCATAATGTTAAGATGTATAAACATGCAAACGAGCCAAAATTTCAATAGCTATTAAATTGAATACCAAGCAAATGCATATTTGGTCTAATTTTTCGGCAATATTTATGTGCAGCTAGCGATTGCAATCACAAATTGTGATTACATCTACAACTATAGTCGAAGAGGAAATAAACGAATAAAAATGGATCACAAAAACGAATCCATCCGCACTAAAAGTTTATATTGACACATGCAATAGATCTAAAGAGACGAAGAAAATGGCAAAAAACGGCTTTCAATTTTGCGCGCACACACATACACATTGCGTATCAACAAGCGAAAACCTATTAAGGAAGTATTTTTCTTTATTATTGTAACTGTTATTAGACCATTTTCATTCGATTTAACGACTTTAGTCTATCCATTCAAAAAAAAAGAGACATCCTTTGTTACAAGAAAAAAAATACGTTTGCACACAAACATTGTTTATTGTTATACAAAAATATAATTTGCATTTTCCTTTAGCCTGTGTGAACCCAAATAATTCATATTCATTTTAAAAGAGAACAAATTTCCAACACAATATCATTCTTCCCATTATTTTTTACTTGTAAATTCAAACCAAATGTGCCTCAAAAATAATACAAACAAAACAAAAAAAAACCTGTAAAATATGAAGGAAACAAACCTGAACAAAAACTTTTATCACTTAATCACCGCACGCGCTTATTGTAATATGGGCCAACTTGAGTGACAGAATTGATGAAATCTTTGAAATTTATTTCCTTTGAATATGCGGAAATTTCATAATTTTGCTGAGAATACCTCCAATTCAGGTAATATTTCATGATTTGCGCGCCATTTGATGCACATCATGCAGCATACACACACACAAACGCTGGTATTACTTTTCAATTCTATAAAACGACAAGAATAATATCCAATTTTTTTTTGCTCAGGTGTTCTTCAATTCATCGGCATAAATAATTTTAACATTTTAAACCATTTGTTTAACATGCTGTGCACCGCCGAAACAAGAGGCTAGAATTAAACCAACAAAGACATATGTACATGGTGCACCACGCAAATGAATTTTAAACAAATGTAATAGACAATTTTGTTTACTTATTTCGTGTGCACAATTAAAAGTGTAATTTGTAGCTCTGGTGGTGGTTTTTTTTTCGTTGCGTGAAATAAGATTTTCGTATGTAATTAAAGACAAGCCATAAATTTTATATTCATTTCTTTTGTGTGTCTCAGGAGAGATTACAATAAATACATTTTATGTCTAAATTTAATCCAGGAATTCAATTACTCGTTTTTTCATTCAGAAATTTTATTATTAAGTATTCAATATTATTCAAAGCCAAGTGTTGTAATGTTCAGTGTACCAACCAAAAACTTTTATTCGACCAAATCTCTAGCTTGTTCATGTCATTTTTGTTTTCGAAAGTTTTATATTTTTTGCGAACGGCGACAAATGTAAACGATTCTTTATCAATTAAATTACCTAAAACTCGTATGAATCGCGAGGAAATTCAAGTTTACTTTGAGCCCGCCAAGTTTGTCAGGAACATTAACAAAAGTTGTTATTTGAAAAGCGCAAAAATTCTGAGCTAATTTAATTATTCAATTAACATAACGTTCTAATTTTCTTGCGCTAATATGATCAACGAGTCGCTGCTTGACCACTGCTTATGGAAACGACGTTGCAATATGTTTTCTAACTTTGATTAAACATTTTCTTGCGTTCACTTAACAATGCCAGATATTTACATGGAAAACATAAATTGCTATACAATGTAATGGTAAGAAGGTATGAAACATCCTTCTGAATAATTTTGTAATTAAATAACGTAGCCATTGAAGTTGATTGCACCTGTATGTTTGTATGTGTTTGTGCAAAATGGTTGTTAACTTAGTAGTGCGATCAGCAATAATCTTTCACCTTTTCAAAAAGCGTAAAACATAAATAAGCAAGAGCAAATTGAACATACCAAACATGAAATTGACGTAATTTTTTTCATTCAATGTTGCAATATTCCGTTGTACTTACCTTGCTTGCTTGCACATTCAATGCGAGATAGCTAAAAGACTTAATATATACTTTTGACCAAAAAATGAAAAAAAAAAAAGAGTTTTGTTTTTAAATCGTATTTGTTTTTATTAATTCTAAAATCATGGAAATACATACATGTGACATGTGACAACAATATGATTTTGTTCTTCTCATTTTTTTCTCTTTTCAAATTTAAATTTATATCGTTAGCATATTAATATTATTAATATTTTTTGTTGTTATAATTTTTGTGGGTTTGTTTTTTTTTTGTCTCATCTTTTTGCAGCAAGTTTAATTTATAAATCGTATGATGAACTCATTAAACATTTATAGTATCCTTAAAGTAATCGTAAATTCTTAAATTCATTTGCAGTTTTTCTCTCTTCTTCTCGGTTTTGCTACTTGCATTAAATTTTCTGTATTTCTTGAATTCTTGTGTTTTGTTTCTTCAAATTTCTCAACTTATGTTTTGACTTATTTCAATGGTATTGAATGCGCTCGTGTGTGTGTGTGTGTGTGTGATGTGGGTGGGAGGGAGACGGGAAGAAAACGGGGATAGGAAGTGAATTTATTTGTTTGAATGTGGTTCTGATTTATATTTTATACGCAAGTGTTTCGGTGTTTCTGTTTTGGGGATGTGTGTTAGTGTGTTTGTATATCTGTGTTGTCTGTGAATTCCTACAGTTAGCACTTTAAATATTTTTTTTTTTTTAATTTTCGTTTTGTTTCACATTTTTTTGTTAATTCGAAGATTCGTCGTATACATGATTAAGGCGAATAGTGTAGTGATCAATCAAAGGTTTTATTCTGACATCGAAGAAAAATAAAACAGCCAAAATGGTATACATATTTTATCAATTACTTGAAGGTTTTCTCTTCGTTTAGTTTCATTTGTTTTTTTTTTTTAGTTACTTTCGTTAATGTTTCCAAAAAAATTTCGATTTCTTTGCTACGTTTGAGTATCGAAAGAGCATTGTTTTTTATCCGCAAAATGAAATATGTTTAGTTTCATCGTTCCGAGCAATTCTTACACTGACAAACATCGCTAAATCAGGTTGTGCATTGGCGAAAAGTATGTGTGTGGAAGAGTTGAAAAATGGAAAAAGCATGTTTTGGATTGACTGCCTTTGCTGACAAAATCTGCAAATCAATAACTTATACGCTTCGATGATATGAATTCATTGAATTTTAATTTGCAGTGTCAGTTAAAGGTAAAGTGTGGTGACCATTAGCAATACGTTGTGGCTTGAGCTCCTCGTTAACCCTTCTATCTATTTATCAATTTTGTTCCATGCATATTCCGATATGCCATTATGATGAAAAATATATAGTTATTTTTTTTTGGAAGTAAACAAAATTCAAAAACTCTTTTTGTTTTTTTTTGTTGTGTGTGTCGAACAAATCAAGTTATTGTATGTATACATTGATCGATTGAGTAAGTCTTTCTATAAATTTAATCTATATTCCGTTCGATTCATACATCGTTTATTGACTGGAAAAAAATGTACATAAAGCAAATTCTAATTTCAAGTAATGACACTAAGTTCGTATACAATTTTAAATTATGAATTTGTGCATGTGTTTGTGTGTATGTGTGTTTTGTCGGTTTATTATGTTTGTGTATGAAGAAAGTGATATTTATCACGTCTAAGAATGTGCATGTCAATTGTGTGATTCATATTAAATTCATATCAGTGGAGAATGATTATAAAAGCTCCTCGTTGGGAAAGTCGTTAATGAAAATGACATGACAATTCTATGCATGTGGACATTTCTTGAATTCACCAATTTTTCAATCAATTGAAATTTGAGTGAATTTTAAACAAAACATAAAACGTATCACCGTCCAAAAGAGTAGTGAATGAATTTTTCAATATCGTTTCTTTTTTCTAATCAGGTCACCACCTTTATTGTTGAATGAAACTTTTTGATTGAAAGAAATTGTCAATAAACGCAAGCATATCAAACGATAAGTTAAATTCAATTTTGACACCTTGGCATTTCGTGTGAAATTCGATTATCGTTTTGATTCATTTTTCTGATTTATGTGCCCCGGATTTAATGAACGAAATGACATTTAAATAATATTTCCAAAATGATTTCATTTACCGACTTTAACCATATTCCTTTCGAATATGGTATTTATTGGTTGATTGATCGATTATCCAAAAATGTTAAGATGTCAAATGTTCGCAAGTCTTGATTGATCTTCAAAAGTAGTTTTCTGGTTGGTATTTTTTGCGGAATATTCACCATATTTTGATCTGTTACAAGTCCAAAAATTGGTCAACACACTATGTTTTTCACGGTATGTTTTTTTTGTTTTTGCTTTGTTTCTGATGCGTTCTGCCTATGCGCAATGCTTTTTTTTTGTATTTAATTTTCGTGAAAATGTCATCTATTTCACTCAAAATTGGGGTTCCTTTTTTCTTACTAAAGAATAATTTTTGTTTCATTTTTTTTTTGTTTATTATTAAAGATTAATTTTTTACGCTAATAATTTCATTTATCGTTTTGTGTGTGTGTGATTGTGATTGTGTTGGTGTAAATTTCTATTAGTAAACCATTGCTGTAGTTTAGATTTTTGTTTGTTGTTTGAAGCTTTCGTGACGATTTACCTTTGTTTATTTTCGCTTTAGATCAAAAATGTTCATTTCATGTGTTGGTTGCGTTTATCATTTATATCTAAATTGTGTGTGTGTTTTTTTAATCAATAATAATTAATCATCATCATCACCATTTCACCTTTTTTTCCTCCATAGTTCATGTATTATTACTATCATAATTATTACTATTGTTATAGATAATTATTACATCTTATGCTTACACTTGTTGTTTTTCTATGTTGTCAACTCTTTGAAGAATATTTAGCTTATTTCAGTATATTTTTTCAGTGTAACGCTTGCAACTGATGTTTTCTGAACCTTAAACAAACTAAATCCATGTATTTCCTTTTTTTATATATCATTCACAATTATTTATAAGTATTCTGTACCACTTGCTCGTGTTTCACATAATTCTATTTCTCTTCTTCATTTTTTCTCGCCCACTTTCATTTAGTTTAATGAAAAAAAAGCATTTTCTTTTGTTTTTTGCATTAAACTATGCCATCTTCTTAGATTATTCATACTTTAGTATAAATTACATTTAAGGATAAACTTATTTGCAATTAAAATTTCCTTGCTTTTTTCCTTTTGTTTTTTTATTCTCTTCTTCTAACTCTCATTTTCCCTATGTCATCATTCGTTTCCTACATTACATACATATTTGTACACAGAGTCTGTATCTCACTGAAAAATAAACTGTAACAATAATTTTAAATTGATCGAATACTATCAGAGCATTCAATCCTGATTTGTGCCGGCGTTTATGTAAAAAAAAGAAGAAGAACAAACGGTTTTTACATCAAATTAATAACATACTTCACTTGTTGTGTGTGTGTGAATGTTTGTGTGTCTATTATCTAGCGCAAAAGTTCTATTCAGCCAAACTCACGAATATTTATACATGTATACAGTTTGAGTTTTTTTTTTGTAGCAAGAAATTTAAAATATGATAGATAGTCTCTTCAATTTCAACTTATCTTGCCACATGACAAACATTCAGCCCCTGATCATAGACCGTGAACCACAAATAAAGCAACGAACACAGTATGTTTTAAAAGAAAATGTTAGAATAGATCAAATTCGATATTTAAACAATAGAAAAACACACACTTTATAAAATATTCAATACATTTGCAATGCTTTCCCGTCTCATTGTGATTGTGATTTTTTTTTTGTTTTGTTTAAATTTAGGTTTGAAAGAGCTGCCCTTCAGTTGCCATTTTATATCGCTTTTTTTGTTTCATTCATTTCCCGTTCAGTTCACGATTATATTTACTTTTTACAAATTGATTTACTTAAACAAAAGCACAAAATGTTTAGTCGAATGCAGACAGAAAACCGATTTTCAAAAAAGAGAGGAAAAATAGAACACATCTCGTTGTTTTCATATGTATAAGTGTGTTTGTGTGTTCGTATGTATATGAATACATATATGTGACACATTGGCGAGCCTTTTTCTATCATTCATAGGGTTATAACTAATTAAACGTGTGCTTTATGCTAATGATCGTTGATAAAGCGCTTCAAAACTACGCTTCATTCACTTCTTCGGATATTGTATGCTCACATGCACCAGAATCTGTCCATACCTTTGTTCTTTTTTTTCTTCTTGCTAATATAATTAACGTGTGAAAGTGTTTTTTTTTTGCTTTTTAAATGTCTAACTGTGTAAGGGATGCGTAAGTTTAGCTGAAGGTGTATTTACGTATTTTTCACGCGCATTTGCTCTCAATTTTTTTTCTTCTATTCCTTTCACTTCATTTTCATCTGTCTGTATTAACTATTTTCTATCAAGATCATTTGTTGCATCTCTATTCTACATTACTTTCACTTCTATCAATATGATCATTAATTATTATTACATACTTTAATTATTTTTAAAATAATTCACTTAAATATAAGATTTCATAATTTTTTGCCTTCCATTTTCATTTTTTTTTCTCTCCATCTGTATGCATATAACTATTCCATAAATTTATGTGTGTGTGTGTTTTTTTTTCTCATTACGTCTAATGACCTAATTGCATTGATAGCGCCACATCTAAATTCTTTCGTAGATTTCATATACATATATTACCCTCCATTCTTGTTCAGTGATTTCACCTTTAAATTTTCTGATTTTTTTCATTTTTATTTTTTTTGTTTATTTGAAATGCTTCTGGTGCTGTGTCTCGTGCCCGATCCACAACTTTCACTATATGCTATAATGAAATGGCTCGAGGTCTTTGTGTAAATTCGTATCGATGTCCTGTGCCGTAAATGGCTCATCATCTTTTGCTTCTCTTCTTGATGGATTTTTATTCAGAGACACATTTATTGCTGATTCTCTTGAACAAAAATGCACGAATTAAAGTAAATTGATTGGTAACATGTGATTCTTTTTCTCCATTGAATTTTCCATTAATTTAAATGTTATTGAATTGTGTTCTTTTTTTTGTGGTTTTTTATTCGTTTGTTTTATATGCAACACGCTCACTGGGGGCAGAATTTGATATTCTGAAATTAAAACATTAAATGAGATTAGTTGAGGTTTTGTTTTCAATTATCAATGTTGATTTTATAGCCATTGAAAGTACAATGTCGTGGATTGTTTATATGGAATGAATTCAAAATTCGCATTCAAAATTTGGATTTTTAAACTATTCAAACAATAATTATAATAAATCAGTTCGAAGAGCTTACCTAAAATCGTTCACACACTTAAAATGGCAATTACAAATGGTGTCCGTAGTATTCTGCTGGTGGATAGTGTGCGTAACCTTGATGGAAGCCTGGATCACCTGGAGGTCTTTGCATCATATGCGCTTGTCCATCCATCATGTATCCCATTGCTTCTGGATATGCTGCCGATGGTCCTGCGTGTGGAGTAAAAACTGTTTAAAAAATAAAATACGGATTAGTCTTTCGAGTCGAAATGCAAAAAGCTCGACGACTTGAAAGAATCGTCGAAAAATGCCCTATTCAAAATCGCATTTGCCATTCGAATATTTCTTTTAAAATGATGATATGAAATATTCGTATTTATTGCGTCATCTGTATGAAATACATTTCCGCTTGAATATAACTAGAGTATTTCTGAGCCCTATTTTATTTTTCATTTTTTGTATGTAAAAGATCGCATCGCAAACACCTTTATTTGCTGCAAAATAAAAAAAAAATGCCAGATCCGTTCGTATTTATTTATTTATCGTAGTATCTCGTGTGATCCGAATAGCAGAGGGATATAGTGTATGTGAGCAAAAAAATAAGAGTATGTAAGACGAATATAAGGCTACCGACATCGAAAACGTTTCGATGCTCGATGTTATTGTTGTTATTGTTGTGAGATGTGTGCCTTTTGTGATAAGTGTTGCGTTTTTGGTGCCATTCTCACATGTTGTAGCTTAACACCTTTAAATTATGATAACGGATGTATCATATTAAATATTAAAAATTTTGTTATTTATTTGCTTGAACATAATCCCGGGTGCGTTGGCTGTATTTCTGTGAGTGTCACTGATGCCATCGCGTCTCATTGCTAAAACATAATGCAAAAACCAACATGGAATGAACATTTGTTTTTTTTTTTTGCTCTTCTTATTTTCACTTCGTCGATGTTCCGTAGAACTTGAAATTGGTTGTTGAAATGAGGACGAATTTCAAGAAAACGGGAGCTAGATGCATGGAACATGAAATGAAGAGGAGATGAAGGGAAAAAAACATGAGAAAGAAAACGAGAAAAGATGAAAAAGCGACGGCAACGTGGTTATTGAAGAAAGTATGAAGCACATATCTGAGAGATGTGGTAATTTTTGATGCAAAACTGTTTGCGCTCGAATATGAAAGAGAAGCACAGAATAAGGGATGCGGATAATTTAAGATGCAAAACTTGTGTGTTTGATAGCGAAAAAGGTAAAATTTATGTTCTGCGAAAATTCCTGAACATCAAGAAGAAAATGACGCTCACCATCGATTGCACGCATTTCGAAGCAAAAATGTATCATACACGAGCAAATATATCCACACTTATAAAATATTCACGATCTTTTCACTATTTTGTTGCCACTTTTTCATTTTTCAGCACAGAAAGACACCCACCTCCACTTCGTGCTCAAACACTTTGCATCTTTACAAACATAATTTTCAAAGAAAACGATATTATATTTGCATGAAAACATTCGTGCGCCAGCAACTTATGATGTATGGATTATCATTTTTTTTCCTCTCGCGCGCACTTGTTTTCGTTGTCATCCACTCCATTCAACGTAACGTCCGAAATGTGCATCTTTTTTTTTTAAAGCAAAAATGAAAGCACGAGAACATTTTTGGATTCTATTTCACTTTTTCATTTGAACTTTACGTGCAGTGAAAATAAAAAAGTATTTATAACTTTGTTTTTCCATATATTTTACTTCCAACTCTAGAGAAAACCACTCAACGTTCAAGCAACATACATATGTTGTATAAATAATATGTGCTTTGATTGCGATTGGATGTAGAAATTGTATTCTTAATCATCATATTATCAAATGAATTTTATCAAAAGGTTCTCGAGTGTCGGACAATTTCATAAAAATTTCGAATTTGGCTCTTAATTTCGATTCATTGTGCGCCGTCTTTTTTTTAATTTTCATAAATGCGTTGAAAATTGTTTAGTTAATCTGCTGGAACATTGCCACATTACAAGACCATCGCTTCAAAATTGATTGTTTTCGGGCTTTATGTAAGAGCACGGCCCATTTGTGAGAATGTTGGCATCGCAAAGTTTTGACGGAAAGACGGATGGATGGAATAAAATTTAAAAACATTATTCGGGCCACATCAAGCATGCATTTACATTCAATACAAAAATAGTTTTCCTTCGACAAGGTTCCTTGCTCCGATTTCATCTTAAATCGTTTCGCATTTGTTTCTTGTTTCGAATTTCGTTTCCTTTTTTGTTTGCCCCCTTTTTATTTAGCACACATCATCTCTTGTGCATTTTCCGTTTCACAGCATTTTTCCATATACGCATACATTGAGCATTATAATAGCTGAATAAAATGAAATGCGGAAAGCATTGAAATGAAAGCCATATATAGAAACATTAGACGACGACAACGACAACGACGACGACGACGACGATGAAAATCCTGAATAACAACCATATCGTAAGCACAAAGTATGTGGTAATCAATCAAGCAATATCGTTATATTTTCCTCATTCGCCAGCCACCACATTCACAGGCGCACACACACACAAAATTTCATACTAATTCAGTTGCTTTTAGATTGCTATTGGCACACTATGCTGCATCATTCGCTTGCTAACAACTAATGCGACGTTCGATGAATGCTAGGTATTTGTTTTCAATTTCCTAAATGTGTGCAAAGCAAATGGAAGCAAATGCACATATTCAACAATCGACCACCCACTTCTCATATTCACATAAACATACAAATTTTCCAGCTTCCGCCGTCGTTCGGCCATCTCGACTTCTTTCTCTTATTTTTTTTATTCTCACTCTCTTGCAATATCCAATTTTTACGTAGAGCGAATCAATTTCATTGTTTTTGACCCAGAGCCATTGCACAATGATGCCTAATAAATATGGGGCTCGTGTTTCGATTACGAATTCCATTGTGGTGCGATAAGTGCGTGGCTTAGATTTTCGAATAATCTGAAGTTGTTTTATTATTCGTATATCTCATATAAAGTGCCTCTATCAAATCGAAAGATATGTTGAAGGATATGAACATTATATGAACGATGTGATTTCGCTTGCATTGACGTTGGCATTTTCTATCGCATTCTCTTTATTGTTTTGTCTTTTATTTCGCTCCGATTTGAAAATCACATGAAAATAGATAAAAATATCGGAAGAAACTAACGTGCACATGCAAATAAAAGCTTTTACTTGACCAAAGATCGAATAAAACATTGCATCCATTGTTGAACGCCGTTTGTTTTATTATTTGTCTTCCGAAACCACGCACATTGTATACATATACAGGAAGAACATTGATTTACGACTAGATTATCGCCTGATGAGGACTCTTAACTTTTAGTCAACATATTCAACAAAACAACAACATTACAAAAACCGAGTATGTTGAGTTCGAAAGCAAAGAACAGTTTAACTACTTCAATTGCTCTGCTAGGTCTTGAACATGAAAAGGTTCTCTCTGTTTAGTATCGGTCGTCGTCAACATTTTCTCAATCACCTGTATCGATGGATTGTGTTTGTTTTGGGACAAATTTACCGTCATAAATTTTGTTTCGCTTGTTTCACAATCTCCATCGGATATGAGGAGCAAAGAAATCTATTCGACCACATTGATAAAATTACGCTAAACATATACATGTATACGTTTGGTTATTTGCGTGCGATGCACACCAAAAATCTCAATAAGATGATGGTTACGATCAAATTGTATTGGTGCTGAAGTAATTAGCAATGGTCGACTTTACATTAAACATTAAAGCTTGCTATTGAACAAATTGAACGAAAGTCGACACAATGTGACTTAAACACGAAATATATCAAATGAAACGCAATCAACAATGTTCAAGCCGGATACGTGTAGCTAATATGGAATCCATAAATTATTCGTAATCAGTTTTATATGAATGCGAATGTGCTTAAGAAATTACAGCTGCAACATTGGCTCCATTGTAAAACAAATATAGCCACAAACTATTTGGAATGACAAAAATATGCGCGACACGATATGCCACGATCACAAGTGGTTCTGACTGAAGCTGCATGTAAATTTAAGCATTTTTTTTATTGTAAAGTTTATACAATGCGGTCGTTCATTTGTTTACTATTTGAAATGCTTTGGATGGGGATGTCAAATGTGTGTGTGTGTGAAAAATGCAAACTGAATGAACAAAACTTCCTTCGTTGCTTTATCGTAAGACTCGATTATGTGGCAGGATCTTTTGTATGGCGATATTGTTTGGTATTTCAATGCGATTATATTCGGTGGAGCCGTATCGAAAATTCAGTATTTATGTGCACTTCAAACATAGATTGCATCATATTTATTCTGTTATGAAAATCTTGGATGTTTTGCATTTTACATATATATGAAGTGATGTCGCATTCAACATTGTGTTCAATTCATGTTACCGTTATTTTCATGCAATAAGCTGTCGCGAATATGGGATCAAGATTGGTATTATTGAAAGCGTACAATGCTCGATTTCTTGGCGCTGTTAAAAGTTCCGGTTCGCATTTCCTTTTTCCTTAATATTCGAAAGTTATCGCTTTCTAAGCATATGAAACGAAAGATCTGCGTATTTGCTGTGACGTTATTAATGCTTTTGTTGGTATCATCGATCCTTTTGTGATTATTCCGTTTGCGCTTTTTTCGCATTCTTTGTGTTGAAGTATTTATTTTCTACTTGTTAGCTGTATTTCGCGTAATTTTTGTTTCATTTTCCTGATATTTATGTTATTGGTTCTCTGCTCTTTCTTTTCGAATATTTTCGGTATCCACTTGGCCTTTTACTTTCATTTTTCCCCTGGTACGGATAGCATTGCTCTATATCTATTTTTGCTAAATTCTTTTGTAACATTATATAATAATTTATGGGTTTTATTTATGCTAGAATAAGCATTTCACACACACACACACACGCATCCATAAGTGCACTACAGATCTCTTTCTCTCTTACTCTCTTTAGGTGGATCCCAGGCTCCTGAAAATCGATGTATTCTCTTTACCATTGAATAGAAAGTCGATGTTTGCAAGTGTACCTTCTATCATTTAGTTATTTATTTATTTATTTATTCATTTCCGAAAAAAAAGCGGGCAAACGAACGAACGAAAGAGAACAAACTGATCTTGATTTATAAACGCTTCTACAACACGTGCATCAATACATTCAAAAGTTTTCATTTCATTGGACTGAATTATTTAAAATGGAATCGGCCACATCAAAGTTTTTCCGATGAAATTAAAAGTTCGTGCGGACGTGAAAAAGTTTGTGCTTTTTCATTCGACCAAAAATTGTTTAGCAAAATGGCAGCGGCTGGCAAACATAAATACAGCAAACACCAGTGTTTTTTCCCCGGCCGATATGTAATCGTAAATTTATCGTTGTGTTCATCTGAAATTGAACCGAAAATGATTTTTTTTTCTTCATCTGTAAACATCATTTGATAATAGAGGGAACTTTTGCGTTGGAAGCCCATGACAGATTTATGTCCAAAAGATGCCCGTCGACCGGACGAGAAAAACAACGGCAAGAGCCTAAGAGTTTTATTGACTTTGGCAAATCAAATGTGCGTGAAATGGCATTCTTAACGACTCCTATGACACTAATATAACGATCAACAGTGTTTTTGTGTGTGTGTTGCACCGACTTTTTCACTTCGTTTTCAAGTAGCCAGTTTCTTAATTAGTGAACCGTTTATGGGTTTCTACATTTTGTTGCTTGGATTTCGTTTTTGGATATGGTGTTTCACAATTTGACCGCCTTTTTCAAAGCACATTTGCACGGTTCTCTAACATTTTCTAGCTCCCGTTCGTCGGTTCATTTCTAATTTTATGTGAATTCTTTGTTTTATTAATGTACGATTGTGTGCATGCTGAACCGTTCATGATAAATGATTTGGGTATCGCTAATTATTCCCCAAACTGTGCTAGTTTGCATCTGTACAATATGGAATGGATATGCATAGAGTGTGTGGATTGTGAATAAAAGTGGATATGAGTGCCACTTGGTCGACGCACAGAAGCGAAAACTAAACCAATTATTGTGGTTGTAAAGACATAACCAAACGACATATGATGGCCCAAGTTGTTAAATTCAGGTACTAGTTTAGCTTTATGACCTCTCCAATGAGTTGATCGCCGCTTCATTACTTTATGTGAGTACAAAACGCAAACACACACACTCAAATGGCGTACCGTTTTATATGCGTACGAGCGTCTGAACTGTGTACCTTGTCCACCATTGCCGATTATTGTCATAAAGGCGCGTAACGCGGCAATTCGATTGTGAAACATTAAAACATACATCACATTGCAATTAATTGATCCATTCGCATCCACCAAGTAAAGTGGCAACATCGATGACCTGAATTTGTGTTTCAAATCAAACAAAAACATTGCATTTGCGTGATTAAGATTTAAATTCATATGTTTTACAAAACTTTTCGTGCTTAACGCATCTGACAATACATTTATAATTCGTCACTTGGACGCTCAATCAAAATTTAAAAGGATTTTGATAAATGTTACTCATGGGTCAATTGAGCGTGTTTCTTTGAATGAGACCATATAACATTTCTTGAATTTATCCCTTACCTTCTACGTGTAATCACATTCCATGTAAGCTCACACACACACTCATTTTAATCACTAATCTCCAATTGGTGGCTATTCTACGAAATACTTTTGCGGTTAAGCATTAATTTGCCGACCGCATTTGATTATAATAATTCAAAACCACATTTCATCCATTTTTAACGTGAAACTGTATTGGAAACCCGTGTATAATATTATATAATTGTTATGTTAAATTCATTGAAGTGGTGAATTTAAGTGAAATTTCAATTTAAAGGAAAATATTGAATTGAACAGAATCACAAGGTAGCTCGCATGCTTGCAATCAGAAATTAAAGATGGGCGCACATGAAATACTCATATAAAAAAGTCCACATAGATGGCATGAAAATAGCGTAATGGTATCATATATCATTATCAGTAATGCATTCCATTCGTATTAAAAGAGAGAATTTGAGTTGATTCACATTGTGAATGTGTGAGTGTGGTTGTGTGTGTGAGCGTAAGAGAGAAAGATAGACACGTTAAATCTTTCTCAGTCTATGTCTTTTGTGATAATGTTGGTTATTTGTGTTAGATGAACGAGTGATATATTGTCCTGTGAATGTGTGTGTGTGTGAGAGAGAGAGTGAGAGAGTGAAATAGTCTGTAATATGGTATATTGTGTGCATTGCATTACTAAGTTGACTAATACTCCTGTTCATAGAATAAACAATACAATATTATATTGCATCAATGACAGTAAGCCAAAGTGGTATTAATCTAACTTTGTTGACATGATTTTGCACTTTATATTGTATTTACTCTCGGTTGCACCACATATTTATCGGTTATACTGGTATACATTTGGTATAGGGTGTTATCCGGACAGTAAACTGCGATTCAATGGCAAACCATTTTTGCGAACATTTTGCAAAGCGAAACAAAAAAAAAATCGTCGTTGCATTAGCAGTTGCTATTGTACGAAGCATCATCCGGCGACAAAAAGAGCGATACCCTAATTAATATAAACAAAAATAACGCATAAATGCAAACATTTTGCAAGTGAAAAGATACCATTTTATTGTCAATTTATAGTGGAACATGTGCTACCGCTTGAAGTTTGAATATTCTGCAGAAAAAGAGCCTGGACACGTATAAAGCCACTGTACAGGAACTGGATATGGAAAATGTATGTATTTTTGTATCATTTTCATTAACATCAACTCTCTGTTGGCTGTACTGTGTGTTGATGTTGCTGTTATGGTTAACACAGAACACTGGATGCACATTATGGAATATTGCAACATACTGGCACTTTCGGTTTTGAAGTTCTACTTTGATGCTCACAAAATCAACAAAACTATGCAAAATGAATTGTTTAAAAGGTCAAATACGAATGCACGACGCGAACTGAGTTTAAAACAACATTTTTTTTTTGTTGTTGCCGGTGGTGGTGTTATTCTTGTTTTGTCTCATCGTGCAATGGGCCAGCATCATAGACGAGAGTGCAGACTTTGAACGCAGAACAAGTGTATGTGTGCAAGCGAGTAATGTCACAACAGTATTGCTTGTTCACTACCATTTAAGTGGTATATCTTTCGGTTTTGTATCGAATCTGTGCCGATTTGTGCATTTTCTTATCGAAACGTATTGCCATTAAGTGTATCTTTTCTCATTACGTTTGCCAGTGTGTCTTTTTTTTCTTCTTCTTTTGTCTCAAGTCTCGATATCATTCGGTATATACTCTATATGCGGTCGCAGTTTTCTTTGCATTTGATTTCCTTATTCACACACTTGTGGGACAACGAGAGGAGAGAACGCAAAAAAAAAACAAGTTCATCACTATGCTCATTACAAGCGAAAAGTCACGATTTTTACACATAACTAGCGACAAAAAGTATAAGCATCGCACATTAAAAATCCCAATATGGGCATTCTATGCTCGCATACAACGCATTTTATTATTGTGTGCATACGAAATGGATATTGAGTGTATGCGACCAATGTGTGAACATGAACACACATCGCACATTACCGCGCTAAAGAGCAAACATGCGCTCGCTAATTGTTTTAATGTTTTTTTTGTCTACTAAAATAGTGACTAATTAATAAATTTCAACACAGAAACATTGGGAGAAAAACTGATTGTGATCGATATTGCATGGCAAAAGTTCAGCACACGAACGGCATTTTCAATTCGTTTTATACCACATACAATTTGAGGTGAGTCCATAAAACAAACATTATGACAAGTTACTCAAGACGTGCACGAACGTATAGATGTTGCTTTTGGCCAATCTTTCTAATCACTTCCAAACATTGTTCCAACATTTTGTACGGATAGCTTTTCATCGAACGCCATGGCCATCATTTATTTCGGTTTATTTTCAATTTTGTGCACAGTAATATTGCTGGTAAAACAAATGTGTTAATAGTATAATATAAAATGTTTCTGAAATGTGTTTGCCATTGACTTTGGCCATTGTTTCTCTTTTTTTTTGTGAATAATGTTGTTGTTGTGTGAATCCTTCATTGTAACATTGGATCAACTTTATCTCTAATGCATCATCAGACCTGCCATTGTAATAATCATAAAATGGTTTAATTTTACGACTTTGGTGTCGCCCCCCTTTTTTCCAACTTTCTCGATTGTGTCATTTGCTTCATCATTCGATTTGGATCTTCTATTTTATTTGAGATTAGAAGGATTTCGTTACCGTTTACGATGCACGAGCACACGAATCGTATGTCTTGAATCGTATGTATGAAATCGATCTTGGTGTCGACTGTTGATGGTTGATTTTTAACAATTTTTTTTTTGCATTCAATGAACTTGGTGTTTCAGTTTGTAAACGAGATTTCTGGACTTGTATATTTATTCCGGTTTTCATTGATTCATGGCAATAATTGCGATTTTGATAATTTATTCGGGGAAACAAATGTATCCTTTGTATTTACCTGCTCTGTTTGATTGGTCAATCATTGGCTGCACAATTCTACGTCTTGCATTAATAAACCTGTAACGAAAACAAAAAAAAAATTTGTTAGAAAATTAAAACGTACATTCAATGCGAATAATTTGTTAAGCTATTGTTAAATGTAATAACTTGAAAATGTTTATTGGATTGTTGCGCATAGCAAGAGGATAAATGCGAACAAAAGGCAAACACATCAATTGTCGTTTATGGTAGTGATTATGCAAATCAGAGCATTTCAATTGGGTACACGAAAAATATGCTATTTGCTATACTACTGTTGAATAAATATCGTAAAAAATCGTGTTGAATTTTATGACCTTTCCTAATTCTCGTTGATGATAGTGATGATAATGATCAAAAGTATGTGTGACATTTGCACATCAATGAATTTGTTGTGTCGCATCTTTGATGGCATACAGTCAATCACTTATCAGGATCAAATATGCAACGAAATGGAGACACGAACAAAAACAAACAAAGTGTTACTAAAGCGCAGTTCATAAATACGTGAATATATGTATATCAGACTATATAGAATACAACAACCATATATAACGTCATAAAACCAAAGGAGCTCCCACATAAAAAATACAAAATCAACACAATGCGCATCACGGCCAACCGAAATGCGGTTGCAACGGACCACATTAAAAAAATTATTCGTAACAATAAAAAAGCACATTTTTATAGCGGTTTTATTACAATTTTATTCTGTCGTAAAAATGATGATGCGAATATGAGAGGAGAAAAGTACACGAACCGTATGTCATTTCAGATGCGAACGCACAGACTGAAACACATATACGCAGCCCGGTTACGTCTCGAGAAATGAGCAAATACGAAAATAAATGGAATTGAGATGATTTTGGATCAACTGGGAATTAGATTGTCAGTCTAGTGGTTATTTTAAGCCAATAACGATGGCTGAAAAACACATGATTTAGATGTACTTTCTTCTATACGTGTGAAAAATAACCATGCATTTTTCACATTCTATGTCTGTGTCTTCTCATCTTTTGTTCAACGATAGATTAACAGAAATTATTCATACACTACACACAAGAGATAAACCCCACAAATTATTTTTGGATTCCTATTAAAAAATGAATTTGTTAGGTTTCCTTATAAAATCGCAATATTTTAACAGGAATCCTAATAAATTGGCGCGCTTAAACGTCAAAACCTCACTGTGTTGAAACAAAACATGTTTTATTATTTAAAGGTTTCCTAATAAAATGTTGCCATATTATAAGGAAACCTTACAAATTAATATTTTAATAGGAATCCTAAAATGATTTGTCAGGTTTATTTTTTGTGTGTACGTTTTGATTTTACGGTTATCTTTCAAGGAATTGCATTTTTTACATCATTTTCAATTAAATTTGTAATAATTGGCCTTTTTATTTTGGGGATAGGGGTTAATTTTCGAGTCAAGTCGTTGTTACATTAATAAAATGCATAATAAAATCAGTAGTCATCTCTATGTATGCATTTTCTGTACTCTGTCGCTCAAATTCAAATTTTAATGTTCTTAATAGTATGAATAAATTAAGAAACAAAAAATCTGTTTTATAATTTCAAATTATTCAATAATAAAAGTTACTCATTACTAAATATCATATAGAATATGTTCATCAAGTAGTATGAAATCAAAGGCATGGCCTGAATAAGGATCGTTTTTTCCTTACAATATTGCCGATTTTTTAAATTATAACAAATAATGAATTCCCAATTGATTCTGTGTCTGCTGTCATAAATGGCAACAGTAATTGAATGTAATAATTCGTAATAACGACAGCGGTTCGCTTCTTTTGAATGCTTATTGAGTTTGTATTATAAAATAATGTAATAATAAAACCTTTATTGGAGTGTGTGCTTTGTCTTTTAAGTTTCATTCTCAAAACCGGCAAAACAAATAACCTCTATCGAATGAATTTGTTAAAGAATACCAATAAAGTTTCTGTTTTGCTTAATTGAGTCTTAGTTTGGATAATAACAAAGCAAAAGAAGCAAAAAACCGGAGAGAGAAAGAACGAAGAGAAAAATCAAAGCTTGAAAATAAGAAGAAAAATGAAATCCCAGTAATGAGTGAAGATATTGAAAAAGTTGCGCTTAATAATATAAAAATGGATACATATATCGTTGAACGAAAAAAAAATATCACACAAACCTCGGCAAATAAAATTGTAAAAGCAAAACCAAAAGTAGATACGGCTTGCAGATAGAGCGCCTTTACGCCAGATTATTGAACTATGTTCATATTGGCACGAAGCCACATTTCGCAAATTCAAAGTCCGGCTTTATTATGGAGGCGATAGAAAACTTTATATTTGCGCCACGGTGGCGCTCTTGAGAGACAGACATTCTTATTTGTGTCGAAATATATATATATATATATGACATTATTTCTGTATGAGATACAACAACTGAAACTGAGCTTTATATTTATGGTAAATGATCTCACATCGAAATCAGCATTCAATTTATTTTATTCAATTTTCGTTGTGATTCTCGTCAACATTAACCTTATTACTTCTCCATCGAAGCTGCGCGATGCACGAAACATGAAACAATAAGAGAATGCGCGCTTACGTTCGCTTCATTTCAAAGCATATGTAATAACGACAAAAATTACCCATATTAAATGCATTCGCCAATAGTAAACGAGCGAACGAAGGCACAAAAAATACTCAAAGAAAATAAATAAATAAATGTCGAGGACGACAAATGAAGAGCAAAAAATGAATCACAAAAATGCTAGTGAAATGAGAGAGAGAGAGAGAGAGAAAAAAAACGTAATAAAACCGGCAGCACTAACGACACAAGAGAACCAACACAAAAAAAAATACAATTCAATGAGAAAAAACACAGAAAGATAGAGATAGAGAGAGAGAGAGAGAGAGAGAGAAAAAAGAGAAAAAGAGAGAATGAAGAACCAATCCACACAAAGGAGAAAAAACATCAGGCTATGCACTACATAGGTAAATGATGTCGATTACCTTGCATTACCAGTACTCGTCAATTTTTATTATATATTATTTATTTATAAATGTTTAACGACAAGCCGAAATGACGACATAACACGAACATTTCAAATGGTTGTCGCTGTCGTTGCCCAGAGCCTACGTGTAGAAATCGATGTGGCAAACAAGACAAAACCCCCAACCAGCGAAAAATACTATACTCTGAGCCAGCAAATAAACAAATCGCAAAAAAAAGAAGACAAAAAAAAAACAATTATAGGAAGCAACAAAAAGAGGCACCGCGAACACAATGAACCGACAAAAAAGTACTCCTTTTTTGTCAAGCGATATGAAATGTCGAGAACAAAAATCCCGCGTCTATATTCGCATTGCTTGTTTGAACGAACGCCGCGAATATTGACAGTTATGGAATTTTAAATGAAAAAGTACATGTGAAACGTTCAATGCGCTTTCGTTTGTTGCAACAGCAATTTTTTTTTTTCAGAAAAAAAAATCCAGAAAATTATTTTATGAGAATGAGTTTTGTGTGAATGTGAATCCGTCCGCAGACCGTCATCAATGTGGAGCAGTGCACAACTAGAAAGTGCCGTCAACTTAAACCGATAAGGAAAAACCATGCGTTGTGTGTGTAAACATTATTATTTTTTTTTTTCATCAGGTCGCGCATATTCAACCAAATACATATTGGGAAAAAAATGATACTTTTTTCAATATCATGTTATCCGCCATAATTTCAAAGCTTTTTTCCATTTCGCAAATAGCATGCCGCATAATATTTTTGCCGCAGCTTTATAAATTATTTATATTACAAATATGAAAGTACTTTTTGTCTTCGTCTCGTCTGTGCTCTCATTCAGCTCGTAACCCATGCACATACTGCATACCTAGAATAGAATTTAGGTATATCATATTTGATGCAAAATAGATGCACCAACGACAATATTTCGAGTGAATGTGATCGGTGGCAACGATCGTTTAACCACATTTTCTGCATAAAAATGATGACGAAAAAAGAGAAGTATAATTATAATGATTTCGCGATGTAAATTCAAAGCAAATATGTGAAAGCAAAACGGGTCATGGTTTGTGACATCGCGAGAAAAAAAACCCAAACAGTAAGTAATATTTAATAAAATATTTATATATCTAAAGTGGTTGAGACGAATATTTTTATTCATAAATCGTATGTGTGTGTGTTCGGTTCTCGTATAACGTGAAACATTTATCTGTGGGCTCTGGTTCATGCGCCACATGAGTCTATGGTTTTGACTGTACCATGAAGATGTATTAAAACTTATGTAGATATATTGAGGAAAATTATTGAAAATGTAATATTTGACACTGCAATGTTAGTGAAATGCATACATATACAAGCTGATAATGATGATGGCAACAATGACATCAAACAGTAGTAAAGGCGTTTTGAACATAAAAAATGCATTGCGCTTCCCATTATACCATATTCAATATAGCAAAAGATGTTTCAAGGGTTGCAAATCGTTTCACTCTTTTATCTATTTCTGGCTCTTTCACTCACTTCCCAAGCATTTTGTGTACGTGTTTTCATTCCATTCGGTTTTCTCTTCATTTTATTTTATTTCGTTCTTTTTTTTTTCACTTCTTTTCTGGTTTTTATTCAACTCTATTCCTACGAACTCGATCTAATATTTATAATGCTTGGATACATTATAAGCTGAGATACACGAAAATGAGATGGATCAACTTTGTGGATTGGTTTGAGGATTCGAAAAAGAGCCAAATATCTTTTATTCATTTGGATTGGTATGATGAGCACATATTCCAAGCGTTCGCTACCCTCAATTCAATTCGTTCACTTGCTTCGTCGTTGCTATAAAATGTACAAAAGCAAGTTAGAGTCGGTTACAAAATGGTTTTACATCCATCGACATGCATAATATATAAAATGCAATATCACATATGAATCGCCATGTGTACAATTTTCGTACATTTACCAAAACGCTTTAATGCCGTCTCTTCGCTTTTAGTTTGGGTTAGGAATTTTTACGTTTTTCTTTCTCTCTAAGTGTGTGAGTG